AAGCCCCCCTTCAAGCCCCCTTTAGGTAAGAACCCTTAAGCTCCTCCTTGAAGCCTCCCTTAAGGCCCCCTTCGAAGCCGCTTCAAGAAGGGCTTAAGGGGGGCCTTAAGGGTTCTGACCTTAAGGGGGGCCAAGAGGGGGGCTTGCCATCACCATGCAGCAGCCAAGTCACATTACACTTGTTGTGCGATGAGATCCGTAGGCTCCACTGCAACTTTGGCAGCGATTCTGGTTTTCCGGCACGAGCATTGACAATCGCTTGGCGGACTCGATCCAGAAGATTTTTTCGAGGCGGGCGTGACCTCTCAGGTGGTTGGTTCTCATTTAGGGATTAGAGTTTAGGTTTCTCTTAGGGTTACCACCCGAGAGGTCACCGCCCGGCTTTTTCGACTGCAGGTGGAAAACTTAATCGCACTCAACTTTCGAAGAGGTTTTACTTCATGATCAACGTGACAGACCGCAGACGCAGAATTTGAAAACCAAGTTGTGCATTTCCCGACGCTTTGTGCAATTGTTGCATCTTACTCCTGCCTTGCAGAAGTTGCTTGAACCGCTAGAACAAGTGTTTCATGGAGTGCTTCTGCCACAGAACGCAGGCGAACCCCCTCTCTACGCGCCACGTGCTGAGCAGCTCTGCGAGGCGGCTGGCAGCGCGAGCGCGCGCTCCGATGCAGGCGAACAGTACCCAAGCAAACCAAACCAAACACTCTACAACTGAAGAAAGCCGTCATGAATGGGACGCACCACACCGATGCTTAATCCATGGTGACATTGTTCCACCAGTCCGAAAGTTGAGCGATGCATGCCTTCTCGTGCATTCTCTCCCTTTTCAGAAGCACTAACATGAGGTTCAACTGTGACAGACCTAACTTTAGGATTTCTGTCAGCAGCGCTTTCAGGCCAAGCGTTGCATTTGAGACATGTCTGGACACGACTTGGACATAGTTCCGTACTTTTCCATCGGATGAAGAACAAGTTTCCTTCCATGTCCTCAGGTGGCCCTGAATACAGCAAGCTATTGAGTTCTGTTGGAGTCGTCCTGCTTCCAGAATTTTCCAAGAGAATGCAGGTACGTGTTTGGATCGGCGACCGGTTTGAAAAGCAAAGAAAGGATTGGACCTTCAAAAAGGTGATGGGTTCTTCGCTGCCTTCCGCAAAGTGGTTGGCAAAGCGTTAGTGGCTCTTCAGACAAGAAAGACCTCGCATGGAGCAGATCATGCGTTTTCACGTTCGTCTGTTCCAGCGCAAACATTGGTTTGGACAAGACATGTTTTCTGTGCGTGGCCAGCTACGTAAGTCCCAAAGAGACACTTGTGGAGTCACTTGGAAGGACATGTCTGCTTTTAAGAAGCTTTTCGTAAGCTCTGCTCCACCTTGTGAAGAGGTGGCAGGCGAAATGGTGGACGTTTTCACTTTGGACTGAAAAGAGAGCCGATGTTTCAGAGGTTTGCGGGTTGTTTTTGCAAGTTTTAGTGAGGTTCCAAAGCAAACAGCGGAAAAAACGCGTTTTTTTTCCGCTGGCGGCGCGCGCTTCGCCTGGCTTAATTGTGGAAATGTCCAAACAGTGTTGACGATCTATGATCGATTCGGTTCGTCTCACTGAGTCAAGTCTGCTTTGGCTCAGTCTAGCTTCGTCTAGTCCACTGTGGTCTGTTTTGTCTTCAGTCCACGATGAGCGACAAAGACGAGGGAAAGACGACGAGGGTTCACTGCTCATGTTGTTGTCTGTTGCAACTGTGGGAAGCACTGCCTCTAGCTTGGGTGTTCTTTGGTTGTCTGGTTGCCTATTTCCGGGTGTCCTAGTGGTTTAGGAGGTTCCCGATCTGACCCGTGTTCAGACTGGGCCATTGATTCATACCCATCAAATCTTGATTTAATTTTTGGTCCGGTAGTGTAGAGAAAATTAAATCTTGATTTGCTTGTGTCGTCTCTGCATGGAGTGGTGCGTCGCGCAATGTTCACGGGCCAATTAAATCACAAGTAAATTGTGTTGGAACTAAGGGGTCCCAAGAAGGCCCGATGCCAGGCAATAAACTTCAAAGTTAATTTTTTTAACTCTTGGATTCACTGCCTTCCCTGACCGGAAGTCCCCACGACACTGCGATGGCATCCAAGCGGGCCTGCTCCCTGGGGAAAGACAAGACATGGCAGCTGACAACTCATCCGCAGCTGCACGAACTTGGTTCATGCGGTCTTTGCCAACCTTCGAGGAAATCCAACTGTTGACTGTGGCAACCTTGAAATTGTCAAACTTACAGTCGTCCAAGATGGGGTTCTCGGACTGGGGTCGAAAAGAATCCACTGTCTCTAATGGGTCAGCGTCTGGGCTTCCTCATCCAGTACATCATCGCTGAAACCTGCGAGATCAGGTGAACCTTCATGGGAACGAGGTGGCAAGGTGGCGAGTTCATCCGGGTCATCGTGAGCTACTCCTGCTTCATTCCGAGGTACCCAACAATCTTCAAGGCTACGAACTACCGAAGTCTGTGTAAGCAACTTAGCGCTGGGTTTGGCCTCTCGCCGATAGGACGGGGGCTGAGATGTTTTGGCCGAACCCGAGTTCTTGAGTGCTGACCTGGTGGTAGTCTTGGGTGTGACTGGGTCCTTGGTCTCCTTCGAGGGTGGTCGTACACTTGCACTCGGTCTGGCTTCACAGCTGGAGTTCCACTCTTCAACCTGGCATTTTCTCGTTGCAACTGACGAATCTGGTCCAGCATCGATTGGTTAGCTGAGGTAGCTCCTTTCTGTTGAACGACCTTAGTCAAATGCTCAACGAGTTCCTTGATAGCCACATATCTGTTGTCCCAAATGTGCGGATCTTGACCTGGGAACTTGGTCTTCGTCATGTGAGCAAGAGTAGCACTGAGATTTGCACAACTGAATCCCCACGCAAAGCTCAAACCAAGGTCCCTGCCATAATTGCTTCCTGTCGAGACTTGAAAGATTCAAAGACCGTGTGTCTGCCGTTAGCGGTGTTGCCTCCTGTCGTCACCTGAGACAACTTCACATCCATGATGTCCATGCCATCAATGTTCAAGTCCCTTGTAAAGCGATTGGAAAGAACCTTACGGGGCAAAGTTGACCACATTCCAGCATACTCCGAGCTGGTGCTGTGCCAAGACTGTGAAAGAGGGAGACGTTGCGATTTGTCTCTGACAAAAGGAAGGCCGAGATCTACTCCGATGTCGTTGGGGTTGTCCTCGTCCCCTGCTTCTGGATCGAGAATCTTGTCTGCGGTTCCGACGCAACAGGATGAATCGTACGATCTAGAAGGTACACTTACACAGCCTCAAGCTACAGCATGAAACGGTATGCTCAAGTCGACCTGCGTAAGAGAGGGAGAGAATGCAAAGCTCGCGACTGGATACCTGCGGCAGCTTCGTTTTGGCAAAAATTGAGCAGCTCTGATTCTGCAGATTGTAAGTGCTGCAACAATGATGCATCTTGAGATGGTTGGAGGTGGGAGAAAAGATGATACTCATCTATCCCAGTCGTCGTTTGACATCCTCCAGTCTTTCGGGGTCTGCCATCCAAGAGGGAATGGATGTTTCTAGCCACCCTCATTCAGCAGTACACGGGCCCTGTTGAAGACGTCTTTGATCAGGCGACTTTCTATAACTGTCCGTGCATTCTTGGTTTGGGGAAGCTGAACATCGACGTGTGGATATGAGACGTGTGTACGAACGAAAACGTGACATCTTTTTTGGGATCAACTGCTTTTTTCATCCAGCAAAGCAACTCGGCAAGACGCTTTCAGCATGTGTCGACACTTTCTAGTTTGAACGTTTGTGAAACGAGACAGTACACTCAAAATGGTATTGTTGCAATAAGATATCGCGTGCATCGCAGTTTTCATTGTTCAGAAAAGCAAGAACCGTCCAATCGATAGGACATATCTCGTTTAGCTCATGTTCTGGACGCATTGGATCAAAAAAAAGCCTCTACCACACAACGGAGTAGAGGTTCAGATTCCCTACTGGTTCTACGAGGAACTCTAGAAGGAAGTCTGTTGTCTACAAAAGGCGGATCCGCTGGAGGGTTTCCAGAACCATGACCATGGTAGTGACAACGGGTCACGACACGACTCTGGAAGACATCGCTGCTTCGGATAGTGCTGCCGTTGGGTACGTTTAGAATAAAAGGAAAACGTGGATAGATGTGTGCCGTTCCACCAACTGAACCCTGAGACCCGCCTGCCGCTGCATAAAAGCACAGTTTGTTGCAATTGTAAAGCTTGAAAGCTGCGCATGTTTGGAAACAGTGTTTTCGAAGGTGGAAGTCTCTGTTTTCAAATCAAGCAGAGGGACTGCTCGATTTCCGGCATAACAAAACAGCTGTGAGTTCGTTGTAAAGCTTTCGCAACTCGACTTTACACTTTATCGTAACTTCATAGGCTATCTTTTGGACTTTCGCGGTCGTGTAAGTGTAATGCCCGAACATGCCTAGATGCACGAGCAAAGCGGAGTAGCTTTCATGTACAATGCATGAGAACTTGACTCCGTCAATGTTTACTCCAACGTGTGATTGTTTCATAACGTGTTGTTCGACATCTAAGGTTTTGTGATGGCTTCGCACGTGCAGCTCCGAGAGTGCAGCGTACGTGACACATCCCCCTAGGAAAATCATTTGTGTTCACCAGTTTCAGTTTGGAAATGCAGACAACTTCGCCCGAACAATGGTTGCCGTTCGTGTGGAAAGTTGCGTTCAGCCGTTGGGGGCCGAGTGAGGACAAAAGCGAAGATGTTTGTAATTCGGTGCCTAGTGGCCTAGTACATGTCGAGGCACGGCCGGCTGTTGCTAATATCGTTTAAGCCGCCAATTGATCTTGCAGCAAAACAACAACACACTTCCAAATCCACCATTGTGCACGGTTTTGATTTGGTACGATTTGGTTGATGTTGATCGCAATGTGGCTCAAGACTACTTTGACTGCCATGTGGTTAGTGCCTGTGAAGGCGTTACAGAGAATTCCCTCACATTTTCGAGCCTTGTTTGCATTCATGCCGTTTGTTGGCAATTTTACTTGGACCAAGTAGTAAGTAGTACTTTGCTTGGCATGAACTGTTCGGCGGTGATGGATCCCATCATTGTCATTGCTCAGACATGTTGTCACTGCAAGCTGATGTCTCTGGCATGGCAGGCTTTTCTTCAAAGGTCAACCCGAGATTACTGCAGCAGTCTTTGGTCAAGTCAAGCGGACCCGAGGCTGGAATGTGACAGCGGCATTCAACATGTCTTCGTCTTCAGCTTTTGTGACCATGTCGACGTACAGAACCCAGCGGCCAATTTGCAGGCACTGCGGCTATGGCGATGTCATGCAGAGAAATTCGATGCTGTCAACATCATTACTGTTATTCGCTGCATGGTGTTGCACCTTGGTCGAGAGTCTGACGATGTACATACATTCGCCTCAGATTGGTCAGCTGTTGTATTCGAGGCGCTCGCCCGGCACAGCGGGCAGCCACATCGCGGATTGGCGCTGCCTGCTGAATGAGGCGCTGAACTTCGCAGATCGCAGTATGCAGCGCAATGCCAAAGACAAGGCTTGTGCGAAGGTTCAGAACGGGGGTGCCAAAAGGCATCTGATCCCAACGAGATGTAACGAGCATGACTGCACACTGGAGTTTGGCAAGCCGGGCAGGTCCAAACCAGTGTGTGCATTTGTGTGTGTGTGTGTTGCAGGCTCGGACCACCGTGAAGACACTGTGCCCGAAGGACATCTCTGCCCTTGCCTGGGTGCTAGGCAGGGCCGACTTGGGAGCGGCCGGGCCGACATTGGCTTCTGTTCACCTTGGGGCAGCCTATGTGATCCGACATGTCGACCACTTCGAGATAAACCTTGCCTCCGTTGAAGGAGGTGGAACATGGTCATGTGTTGATCACTTGCCAAGGTCGTCCCGGAAGAGGAGCAGCAACTTCTCACGGCTCTTGTGAATGCCAGCTCTGTGCAAATGCCTGCGTTCACAAACAAAGATCTCGGTATAATCGCTTGGGCGATCGCGAAGCTTGAAGCATGTGTACGGATCCCAGATTGCTGGTAGTCTTTGCCGGACCATGTAAGCTTTGATTGTGAAATACTTCCGAGGATGCTTCGGATCCGTTCGTGGCTCTCTTGGCAACCGAGACTGCCGGTCGATGCGAGCAGTTGAGCGGCAAAGAGGCTGTGAACCTGGCCTGGGCATTGGCCAAGATGAAGGTGCTGCAGTGCAACAGCAAAATCCTCTCTTGCAAGACATCATCCGTTCTGCTTCGCTGCCACGTGTGTGTGTATGTGTGTGTGACTCCTGCTGGCGAGGTCAACGAGCCGTTGCTCATGGAAAGCTTGGCGCACCGAACGGCTACAAAGCTCAGGTGCCTCAACAGGACCCAGCCCAGCATGCAGACAGCGTGTGTCCTTCAAAAGCCTTGCGGTGAGATTGTTGTCCGGCGGCGATTGTTTGGCAGCGGGTTGCCGAAGCAGACCAGTCTTCGGAGGTTGTTCAGTCTATGTCAAAACTTCGTTCGACAGGCAGGACGCTGCAAATGCGGCCTGGGCTTTTGCCAAGGCTGGGGGTTTAGCTGCATTCCAAGCTAGCCATGCTCGAGCCAGCCAGTAGCATCATGCACGCTTTGAGAGTCTCGCGTCTTCCTTTCCGGGAGAGATCGGGGAACTTTGCAAGGCTGAGACTCATCACGGACCTTTGCTTCGTGGACTATCGGACATGTTCCTGGCAAACCCTGGCGAGTTCCAACCTCAGGAGAATGACACGTGCCGGAGAGGCAGCAGACATTGAAGCAGGAATACGTAGCATATGCAGGAGCACTGTTTCGACAGTTTCGCTCGCTTTGGCCTATTATGTTCCTGCACAGGAGCTGGCCAGCCTGTCGTGGGCCTATGCACGGCTCGATGCAGGGGAAGAGCACGAGGCCAACCCTGACAGAGTTCCTTTCGCTCGCTCCCGTGGTCCTTCGCATCGAGAGGCGCTGCTTGCTGCCTTTGCTGACGTTTGTCTGCGGAACGTCTCGTGCTTCAACGGGCCTGGCCTGGCACGTGTGGCCTGGGCTTTTGCCACACTGGGCCGGACAGAGAGTCTCTCGGCCCGCAGGAGGTCGCAGCAGAGCGCAGCCTAGTGCAGCCGTCGCACAGGAAGTCAGCTGAGGTGTTCTCTTTACAGCTTTGGCTGAAAACGCGCTTCCATGGCTGCCCACGCTGGATGGGCCGAACCTCTCGAAGTTGGCATGGGCCTTTGCGAAAGCGGAGCCTCGGATTATCGAGTCATACCTCGAGGTAGGTCCAGTGAAGCCTCATCGGCTCAGGACCTCGAGGAGCAGACTGGTTTCATGCTGACGCTTGCGAACCAGGCTAACACCTCAGCATGTTGCCCTTTGCCCACACTTCCAAGCAGCACCTGTCCTAGCATCTCTCGGCGTTGCGTCCATGCCAGGTAGAGCAGAACGTTCTCAGCCTGAATGCTCGTGACGTAGCGATGTTGGCCTGGGCATTGGCCAAGGTGGGGAAGGAAACCAGTGGGGGAGGACTGAGACTGGCATGATATTTTTGGTAATTTAGGGTTTGGGACCTGCAACAAGATGCTTGGAAAAGGAAGTCTTGCGGAGCTTGTTGGAATTTTGCTTGCATCAGCTTTGCATTTACTGGTGCCAGTGCCATGGGATTGGGCATTGGGTACGGAGCTGAGTTGTTTCAGGGGTCGATATGCTTTCAAGTTTAAGCGATTGGGGCTTGAGTGATTCATAGTTCTTGCTGCTCATGGCTGGACACGACGATGTGGAAGGAGAAGAAGCAGCCCGCAGGGCCGGCAAAAAAAAAGTAGGACAGAAATGAACTGTCAAGCTCTCCTGAAGAGGTGGATGCAGCACCGCCGCAGCTTATGCTGAAGTGCCTGGGCGCTATGTCGGTGGAGCACTCTTGCCAGCGTTGGAACCTGGCAAGAGCGCTTCAGAGCACGGCCACTGCGACTGTTGGACTCAGGTTGGCCCAGCATGCAGCAACTGTTCTGCACATAGAGAATGTTGGAGAGCCGTGCCGGCAGTGCCTGGATCCCAGGTTCCTCTGGTGCCTCATTTGTCGCCTCAGGGTCTTGCCACTTCAGCCGCTGCGTTCACTGCGGTTTCGGTGTGTCCGGAGCGCCTGCGCCGAGCACTTGTGCAGGGCGCCTGGGCAGCTTGGCTAATTTGGCTAGATCGAGCGTCCCCGTGGGGGTTGCGTCCAGGTTCCAGTTCCATTGGTGAAGAGAGAAGCTGTCGCCGTAAATGCATGACTGTTGGTCAGGCTCTGAGACAGTTGAGGAGCATCTCTCATCGTTCTCCGCGCAAGAGCTTGTAGATCTGCAGTGGGCAATGGCAGCGCAACCTCTGCGCGAGAGGTCCCTGGAAGCGCCTTGGAAGCCTTGGCCGGGAGATCTTGCTGCGCTCTCTCTCGCAGCGACGTGAACAGAGGATGCCATCTCGCGAGCACCTGGTTGGTCCCTGCGCCCTCCTTACGCGGCTTGCTCGGATTTGAATCATTGAGCTGTTGGGGAATCGCCAACATGGAGAACAGGCTAGCCGCACTCCATCGATTAGGATTCCTTGCGCAGCTTCAAGTGAGGAGCATTTTGTTCAAGCCGGCAGTTTCCCAGATTGCTTCAAGCACGTGGTTCTCGTGCTGCTCTTGCAAGATATGCTGAGCACTGAGGCGGGCATGCACGAAAGCAGTCCATCTGTTAGACATTTGATCATCTGTTCTGCCCATGAAGTCTTCGAGCCTGTGCAGTCTCCCATCGTTTATGTGGACACACATGCTGGTGCCGGCATGTACGATTTGGATACGCAGAAGGCCCGGCTTCATCGAAGAGTGCCACCAGTAGGGAGCCGTGTTTGTCTTGTCAGAAGCTCTGGGCATTGCAGGAAGGCCGTTGAGGTCAGAGCAGGTTTGGCCCCGTCCCTGAGGGAACGCACGGCTACGTTCGCAGTGCGGAGGGTGTTGATCGCCTTGTCAAATCTGCAAGCGCGTGGACGAAGCCGAAGCTGGTTTGCACCAAAGTGCTATTGTTACGTGAGCAATTGTGCATGAGCCTGTGATGCATCATGATGCATCTCAGGATACCTGCACCAATACGGACCTATCTTGACATGGTGGAATCCTGCCAGAGTGCAAGACTCACTCCAGAGTCAGGCACTCGCTCGCTCGCTCAAGCTAAGATCCGCCAAGTTCCGATATTCCTTGAACCCTTAAGACTGAAGCTGCGAGCATCAGCTTTGCAGATTCGGCATGTCTTTGTTAATCCTTGCCCCGAGGCGTCTACCCGGGCTCGCCGGCCCTGGCTGCGAAGATGCTGTCTGCGGGCCCGGTGGGCTCCAGAGCTATGCTTGTCGAGGCAACCGAGTCTGTGCATACCGCACTCTGCTCTTTGGCTGAAGGCATCTTTTTGAGCCCTTTACGCAACCCATGAACCATCCATCCGTTGCTTCCCAGCCGAGGTAAAAGCATGGCCGCCTTCACCCAGGTTTTGCATGTGGACATTCTGCACGAAGATGCCTACAGGAGCGTCCTGCAGTCGGATCTGCATTCGAACAGCACTTACGCCCTGCCGCCGCTGCCCTGCAGGGGTCTTCCGAAGATTCTTGAACGAACGCCCGAGCCGGAAAGGCAGAGGGCCCAGACCCCGGGGCCCCCGAACCCCCTTTCCGACTTTTGTGCCAGACAGGGCCCTGGTTCTCATCGATCCTCCCTACGACTTGTGCTTCACCGACAACTTCAACTTCCGATTGCCAGTTGCCCAGAGGGGTTTTGCAACATTTTCCATGCGCCTCAGCCGTTTCAGTGCTCCAGGCTGCGACAACTTCAGGAACATTGGCCGGCAGCCTCTGTTGTGGTATGGCATCCTGTTTGCACTGTAGAGCGAGAGAGGATTGTCAAGAGAGTGTCTGTAGACTGTAGTCTTCTGGACTGGAATGCCCCTCCTTGTAGAGAGTCCGTAGCTGGGCCCGTGAATCAGTCTGCGAGCATCCTGGGGCCTTCGCACCGCAACTTTGCAGAAGACTCTGAAGCCGTTCGTCCGAGACGTCTCAAGCAAAAAGACCTCGTTCCAGGCCCTACACACATGAACAGGGACTCCTGAGGTTTCGAAGATGTCGTTGCTTGCCGCATTGCAACGTGAACCGAAGATTCCGACAGGCGTTGGCCATACGCTTCCTACCAGTATGAGTGTTCGGGAAGAACCTGTCAGAAAGCCCCAGTGGGGTGCGGTAGGGCATCCACATCGTGACATCTGCGGCTGGCAGAGGTCAGTTATGGATGTACCCGCTAATTTGCGCAAAAGCGGATGTTCTGTGTTTACGAGAAATCAACTACGTGTATTAGCTGGCTCCAAAGTCGATCTGTATGCCGCACTGAAAATGTTGCAACTTCTTTTTCTTTGCATTGCAGCAGGCAGGAGAGCAAACACCTCGTAAACCGCATGACATTTTCCAGCTGTGCGCTGAACCTTCCAAATCCTAGCCCGTCACGTCCATGCTTGTGGAGGACCCCAGAGTGTGATCCGTGTCATGGCACTTTCGCCAAGGTATCCAATGCGTGACAAGATGAGAGCTCAGAGGGTCTATCGAAGGCTACAGCACAAGTCGATCACAGGAACATCACTTCGCCGTCGTAGTTTTGCTCCTTGCATCGCAGGGTGAAGTCTATTTCGCTTGGGCCGGTCTTGGCATGCTGGCAGCTAAGCTCACGCATCCCTGAGTCTTGGCGACCCGATTTCAGATGGCATTCTGCCTTGTGAGTCTAGAGGTGAGATGGAAATCTGCCGCACTGCGTGCCCTGGAAGTTCCATTAGGACCCTTTTGCTGGTGGCAGTCTTGTCTCAACCCGTGTCCTTATGGGTTGACCTGACAGTCAGGACAGGTGTTCTCATCCTGCGACCTGCTGCGGGAATCCAGGAGCAGTTTGAGAGCGTGGCTTGACTGCAGTCTATCGTCGGGCCCTTTGGCCAGAGTGCTGAGCCTTTCGCGTGAGGTCCTGCCGGAGCTTGCAGACATGATGGCTCCTTCATCAGAGGCTCGGGCCCTTCGTTGGATTGCCTGAAGAGTTTCCGTGTCGTTTGGGCAGGTCGCCAGAAGCTGCGATGTTTTTTGGATCTGAAGCGGCGCAAAGAAGACCGGCTACTGCTCTGAAACGGGATGACTTGCGGATATCCATCCGACGTTGGAGTATGGGGTCTTGAACCTCTTTACCCCACTATGTGCCAGGAATTCGTCAGCTTCTTCACAAGTCGGTGCACAGTCATGAGCTTCCGGGATTCTGTCTTTTGTGCTCCAGTGATGCAGTACTCAATGTGCCCCAGACAAGAAGGAAGAAGGCAGGTGACCACATTTAGACTAATCACAGGATAGTATGTCGCTTCTACATCCTTTTGGCATTAAGTCGTTGGCGCCTTTTACCCCGGTAGCCACAAGCTGTAGCACCATGCCGCTTGCAATCGCGTGTGTTGCGGCCCGGCTGCAGAGAGGGCTGCTGTTGCTTGGTGTCTGCAGAGGGCAGGGATGATCGCGAGAGTCGCGAGGTACTGCTTACCAGCCAAGCTGCGGCGCTGACGGAGACACAGCCTCCGATGACGCGGCCGACGAGTGGGCAGCTGGACCACTTCAGCCCGTAACCCGGTGGCTCAATGGGCCCCTGCGGCCCCACAGCAGGAAAGGGATAGCTTCGGTTGACATCTTGCAGTGCCGAGGCTACTCCATGTACTTGGATGACAAGACCGAGGAGGGGGGCCACGATGAAGCTTGTAAAGCATGGCTTTGCAGACTTTGACGCTGCAATAGGACCCGCGCCGCCTGCACCTGCCACATCTTCGACTTCGAGCTCCCCCTGCCGGGGCGCTCAGGAAGGCCGCCCAGGCTGGGCCCCGGACCCCCGAGCTGCGTCGAGGCTTCGGTTTAGAGCAGGGTCCCGACGGATCCGAATTTCGGCCCACCCCGCCCGACCCGAAAATAATGGGCCAAAAAAAGGTGCCTTTTGCAGGTTCAGGGCTGATGCGATCACGGTTTAGGGTTTAACGATACCGGGTGGGGTGCTGAACTTACCTATTCCCCACGTGCCGTGTCGGAAGCAAGGTGAAGCCGTACTGACACTA